GGCTTCGCCTCGGACTGGAACTAATTGCGCGGACTTGAAATCCCGTCCTGTCCTCATTGTCGGATTTGAAATATTACGTAAAGAATGAACATTTGAGTTTGAGATCAACAGTTGTATGTTTCAAGTTGCAAGTATAGAACGTAGTGGTAGTGTGTGTTGAGCGAGCACACGGAAGAGCCCCGTATGGGGAGTGATGCATGGTTGAAAAATACAAGTTCTTTTGAATTGTTACGAATGGTTGAATATCAACTAGTTTCTAATCATTCACTTTATCGTTGCCAAATGCGTCGACTCGAAACAATYGTTTGAAAGCTGAAAAATGTAACTCTGATATCTGCTACACCGAAAATGAAATATGAAATATGGCGASCAATTCGAATAACTTGTTCTGGAATGACTAGCCTCTCATGTGTGAAAACGCTTTTGTGTACAGGAAAAAAGGCATGAGTAGTGACTAGCCACTAGCACTACTAGCAGCATAAGCCAGTTCATACTTTAAGAATCGTTTTCAGTGCGAAAGCGATTTTATCCCGAATTTTCTCGACTACTTYTGTTTAAACCTTATTTTGTTGTTAATTTAAACAAAAAAGGGTGAGAATTTCTGGTTTATTAATCTATCCGAGAAAATGTTTATTGCAGTAAAACGCACGACGAAAATGTTCATTTGCTTGCTAACAAACCAATTACAAATAGATTCAAGGCATAGAGTATTGAAAACAAATGCATTTTTGATAGGCTGTTCAGGCTAAAAGCATGAGAAGAATGAAGAAAGGTGTTACAAAAGAATCTGAAAACATACCTTGATAGATTAGTTGTGCTTTTGTGCTTCCAGAAGAATTATGGTCTGATGTGCAATTAATTTCGCAATTTATAGAGTCTGTGATTGACACATGCTAATTAAGAAATAATGATAATTATCAAACAGACACAAACAGGGGGCCGCGGAAAAAAACCCGCCAATTTGTTTGCGCCCCCGAAACCCCGAACAATAAAGAAATATGGTCTTACATTTTACAGTTAATTTTTACATACAAATATAACAATGCAAAAACCTGCATTATATTTAACGTCCTTTACAAAAAATTAATGAAATTACCGTATTATATATATATATATATGCGTACACTGAACATAAATGAAGGCATAGTATGCACGGGTTCGCCACACGGTGGTTTGATTTTCTAGTGTCGGCCCAATATTCAAGTTGCCTTGTCGTAACCAAGTAAAAATGAAAAGGGTGCGATTGACTTTAATTAATAACTAATTAATTAATATAATTAGTTATTATAAAATGAAATCAATAGTAAATATACAATCAAGTTTACAATCATGTGCTTTCATCGATGAAAAATAAGAAATAATTTCATTCAAGAACCAATCTGAATTATATCTTATTCAACTGAGTTCTTCTTGAAGCTGTTGTGCCTATATTTCTGCTAAAATTAGTTCGCACCTCAAGATTGATTGTTATCTATTTGATTAGTTGGTTGGCATACAATTAAAACTCGGACACGTACGAAGAAAAACAAACATGTTTTGGTATGTTTTTTGCTTTGTTAGTTTTGGAAAATGTAGAAAAGTAGAATTGCCACAATCTATCACTGATTCATTTCATAGGTTTGCATGTGTTTCAAATATTAGTGGTCTTCTTCTTAGAGTGTGAGATGATGCAATTCTTTAATTACTTTCTAGAAGAAAGGGTGGAAGGGCGTTCTGATCCTTGGCGGCATGGCTGGGAAAGTAAAAGATAAACCTCATTTTGCATTTCAAATTCAATATGRACTTGATGAATCCAATTTACGGATAAAAATAAAAATGTCTTGTTATGTTTCTTGTCTGTTCTTAACTCTTGTTAAGTTTTGGAAAATGCAAGCACAGTCCAATAGATGTTTGAATTGTTATTTAGCTACGAAATTTTCCGATATAACGAACACTCTAGTTGGTTGAAAGATGACCACGTGATACTAGTTAAGTCTAAATGTATCCTGACTGGGAAATAACTTGCATGTGACAATAATCGTGAAAATAAACAAGTGCACGTTACCAGAACGTGAAAATCGCTGATCGCATGATATTATGCGCCAATAACAAGCAACAGAGCGGGAGCAGATATTTTTCTCAAATTTTCAGTAAAAATGGAGCTCGAAGCGAAACAATAGAGATTTTCCAGTGATCATAAAGAGAAATAACAGATTTTATTGAGAAAAAGGATTTGAAAAATACGATAAAAGCGACTAAAAATGCTGTTGCTACTCTCGTCGCTGTTTGGTAGAAAAATACAAGACCGCATGTGAGTT